CCAGTAAAACAAGAATTCATTGACCCAAGCCATAACCAACCGTTTCACTCCCTTAGGTTCCACAGTAGGAAGCCTCAGGCCAAATTACCAATCACCATGTCCTAATTACCAGACAGCTCTAGTTAGTCAATATGATCCATATTCAATCCCAACATATCAATCATTGTTTTCATCCCAACCAATCAGTTATACCAAAACATCACCATATGTCAAGAAAAATCCTAGCAAATATCTTTTCAATATTCTTTTAATCTCAACCATGAACAAGCACCAGAAAAAATAGTCAAAACTATATTTCCACCCAACTGCCAGTATCACCCTACAGAGTCATATAAAACACTAAAATTCTATCAAGCCATCCTTAGTGAAATCAAATCTATTTCCATTAAACCACTTTACTGTAAACTCATGAAAAATCCTTTACCAATATCTTTACATTGGTCACTTTCTGACTAAATCAAATTAGGGAATCCCCCTTTACAAAAGCAAACCGCTTCATACCCAATATGTCCAATTACTCAATATTCACTATAATTATTTTGATTATATTGATGTCTAGAATAATATCTTTCTTCACCAGACATAAGATTTCAGTCATTCATGGTTCATTAACTTTGACAAGAGTTTTAAGTTAAATTTTCCTGCATGGTTTCCAAAATGGTGGTCAATCCATAGCCCAACAACTAGTCTTCTGCCAGAAGAACTTATGCAGAAACTCTTCACCAATTTTCAACCAAAATTTGACAAAAGTGGATTTGACAAAAGTGGATTTAACTACAAAGTCCCACGGATTTTAAAGTGGAATTATGAAGTTATCGGCAAAGTGAACAGAGTAAGATCAGTCAAGTGGTGAGATAAATTTAATCACCAGAGGGTCATCAGTCAGTTCCTTTATGAATTTCCCATTACTCCACCTCCAGTCATTCCAACACAACCATTAATGCCAGTCATTCCAGCACAATCATTATCAGACATTAGTCCATCCTCATCCCTTAAAGGAACAGTCAAGTCACCCAAGTCAACAAGTACAAAGAGTAAGGACAAAGTTGCCCAACTCCAGAATTTAACGCAACAATTACTTGTAGAAGCAGCAATGCTCCACACTGAAGAAGAAGAAGTTTCAGAATCAGAATCTTCAGATGCATCTTCACAGCAACCAACCGATCCAAAAAGCCAAATAGCTAAATGGACCAACTACCATGATTCTCAAGACCCATTTGCATAAAGCCATGTGAAGCCATGTGAAATTTCAGTCATCATTCCAAGTCATCATGAGCAGAGCCTAGTCAAAATTCCCATCATTAAAGTTGACAAAGTAAGAAATCATTCATCTCATGCTTCAACAGTAAAAGCAACAATCATTCCATATATATCACTATTCATCAACAGTAAAAGCAAATCATCATTCATCCCGTGCTTCAACAGTAAAAGCAGCAATTACTCCAGGCAGATCACCATCCATCAACGGTAAAAGCAAGTCATCATTCATCCCGTGCTTCAACAGTAAAAGCAGCAACCATGCCACAACAAGGAAATCCAGCAATGATCCAAACCTCTTTTCAAAAGCTTTTAAAAAGACGACTCTAAGGAAGGAATGACTAGTTTTTTAGTTTACAGTTTTTCAGAAATTTTTTTGTGAGTTCACACTGCACTCAAAGAAAATTAAAATTGTAAACAATTTAAGTTCTTAACTGTCAAGGATGCTTGTGTGCACCAATATCCTTCTCATCAATCAATTTCTTATTTGCTGGCTCAATCGTCAGTAAATTGATTGTAAGTCCCAGTGCAAATTTTGCAATAGAACTTATTTTCAAATTATATCTGCATCATTATTTTGAATTCACTATTTTCATTATGAATATTTTCACAACAACTGATTTCAATTGGCATAGAATTCTCATTCACAGTCAATTCATTGAATATCTCAAGTATAAGATAGACTGTGAGTGAGAATTCTAAGCCAATTGAAAGCTGTTATGAAAATATTCATAATGAAAATAATGAATTCAAAATAATGATGCAAATATAATTTGAAAATAAGTTTTATTGTAAAACTTACACTGGAACTTACAATTAATTTACTGACAATTGAGTCAGCAAATAAGAAATTAACTGATGAGAAGGATATTGGTGCCCGTCGGCATCCTTGACAGTTAAAAACTTAAATTGTTTACAATTTTGATTTTCTTTGAGCGCAGTGTGAACTCAGAGAAAATTTTCTGAAAACTTAAAAACTTGCCTTTCCTTCCTCAGAGTCCTCCTTTTAAAGGATTTTGAAAAGAAGCTTGGATGATTGCTGGATTTCCTTGTTAAGGCACGAGATGAATGATGACTTGATTTTACCATTGATGAATAGTGATATGTCTGGAATATTGTTGCTTTTACTATTGAAGCACGGGAAGAATGATGACTTACTTTTACTATTGATGAATAGTGATTTGTCTAGAATGATTGTTGCTTTTATTGTTGAAGCACTAGATGAATGATTTCTTACTTTGTTTGCATTAATGATGGGAATTTTGACTAGGCTCCGCTCATGATGACTTGGAATGATGATTGAAATTTCACATGGCTTTATGCAAATGGGTCTTGAAAATCCTGGTAGTTGGTCCATTTAGCTATTTGGCTTTTTGGATCGGTTGGTTGCTATGAAGATGCATCTGAAGATTCTGATTCTGAAACTTCTTCTTCTTCAGTGTGGAGCATCGCTGCTTCTGCAAGTAATTGTTGCGCTGTATCTTGGAGCTGGGCAGCTTTGTCCTTACTCTTTGTGCTCGTTGATTAGGGTGACTTGACTGTCCTTTGAGGGATAAGGATGGACTAATGGCTAATAATGATTGTGCTGGAATGACTAGCATTAATGGCTGTGTTGGAATGACTAGAGGTGGAATAATGGGAAATTTAGAAAGGACTTGACTAATGCCCTCTGGTGATTGAATTTATCCCACCACTTCACTTATCTTACTCTATTGACTTTGTCGGTAATAACTTCATAATTCCACTTCAAAATTCATGGGACTTTGTACTTGGCCATGAATATTGGTAGAAGTGTAATCTTGTAGTTGAATCTGCTTTTATCAAATTTTAGCCGAAAATTTGTGGAGAGTTTCTGCATAAGTTCTTGTGGTAGAAGAATGTTTGTTGGGCCATGGATTGACCACCATATTCGGAACCATGTAAGAAAATTTAACTTAAAACTCTTATCAAAGTTAATGAACCATGAATGACTAAATCTTATGTCTGGTGAAGAAAGATATTAGTCCAGGCATCAAAATAATTATAGTGAATATTGGGTAATTGGACATATTGGGTATGAAGTGGTTTGCTTGTGTAAAAGGGGATTCCCCAATCTGAATCGGTCAGAAACCGACCAATGTAAGGAGAATGGAAGAGGATTTTGTTTTCATGAGTTTTATTGTAAAGTGGTTTAATGGAAATGGATTCGGTTTCACTAAGGATGACTTGATAGAATTTCAAGTGTTTTATATGACTTTGTATGGTGATAATGGAAGTTGGATGGAAATATAGTTTTGACTATTTTTTCTGGTGCATGCTCATGGTTGAGATTAAAAGGAATACTGAAAAGATATTCACTAGGATTTTTCTTCACATATGGTGATGTTTTGGTATAACTAACTGGTTGAGATGAAAACGATGATTGATATGTTGGGATTGAATATGGATCATATTGACTAACTAGGGCTGTCAGATAATTGTGAGTGTGAATTCTATGCCAATTGAAATAAGTTGTTATGAAAATATTCATAATGAAAATAATGATACAGATATAATTTGAAAATAAGTTGTTATGAAAATATTCATAATGAAAATAATGGTACAAATATAATTTGAAAATAAGTTTTATTGCAAAACTTACACTGGGACTTACAATTAATTCACTGACAATTGAGTCAGCAAATAAGAAATTGATTGATGAGAAGGATCTTGGTGCACGTAGACATCCTTGACAGTTAAGAACTTAAATTGTTTACAATTTTGATTTTCTTTTAGTGCATTGTGAACTTAGAGAAAATTTTCTGAAAACTAAAAAACTTGCCCTTCCTTCCTCGAAGTCCTCCTTTTAAAGGCCTTTGAAAAGAAACTTGGATGATTGTTGGATTTCCCTGTTGAGGCACGAGATGAATGATGACTTGCCTTTACTATTGATGAATAGTGATCTGTCTAGAATAATTCTTGCTTTTACTGTTGAAGCATGAGATAAATGATGATTTACTTTTACTGTTGATGAATAGTGATCTGTCTAGAATGATTGTTGCTTTTACTGTTAAAGCACGAGATGAATAATTTCTTACTTTGTCAGTATTAATGATGAGAATTTTGACTAGGCTCCACTCATGATGACTAAAATTTCACATGGCTTTATGCAAATGGGTCTTGAGAATCCTGGTAGCCTATCCATTTAGCTATTTGGCTTTTTAGATTGGTTGGTTGCTATGAAGATGCATCTGAAGATTCTGAGTCTGAAACTGCTTCTTCAGTGTGGAGCATCGCTGCTTCTACAAGTAATTGTTGCGCTAAATCTTGGAGCTGGGCAACTTTGTCCTTACTTTTTGTGCTTGTTGACTTGGGTGACTTGACTATTCCTTTAAGGGATGGGGATGGGCTAATGTCCGATAATGATTGAGCTGGAATGATTAGAGGTGGAGTAATGGGAAATTCAGATAGGACCTGACTGATGACCCTCTGGTGAATTAATTTATCCCACCACTTCACTAATCTTACTCAAGCACAAAAAGTAAGGACAAAGTTATTCAACTCCAAGATTTAGCGCAACAATTACTTGCAAAAGCAGCGATGCTCCACATTGAAGAAGAAGAAGTTTCAAACTCCGAATCAGATACATCTTCACAGAAACCAACCAATTCAAAAAAAAGTTTAGGGACCTAATTTTTAGACTGGTTTTTTTGAAAAAATAGTTTAGGAACCTAATTTTCACTAACTTGGCAGTTCACCCTATCTACATTAAAAGGGTAGAGGAGTGGGTTAAGCCTCCCAACGGATTAGCAATAATGTGGTTCAAATTCGCCCTTGACAAGAATCTAACCTAAGACCTCTCACTTACAAGTAGAGGAATACCATTAGATCGTAGTACTAAGCGACATTTCGCCAAAGAACTCAAACATAGACTAATTAAACCATAAATGGACACTAATTGTTGAGATCAAACCAGCATTGAAACTGCTAAACATTTTTCTGGGTCTCCTAATGAACCTAGGAATCCTTAGCCTTCTTGTTTTCAGAAATGAATATTCCCACTGATTTGAACCATTGCATAAGATTACGATGATCTTTGACATAAAGCCATGCTCGAAGAAACGGAAACAGACTTTCACTCACACCCCGCTCTTCTACGAAATTGTGGAACGCGTCCCTCGTCATTTCATCAAGATCTCTGTCGGTTGAAGAACAATTCAACCCAAATATATATCAGTTTTTCATGCATAAATCAGAGCACATGACAGGTTTAATTTCTAAAGAGCAAAACCAAATTATAAAAGAAAAAAAGAAATTCAGTAACTCAAACCAAGAGCAGCACCGAGGGATACAATAATCTACAGTGCAAGAGTTAGGATCGTTGGATACAATAATCTCGGTGACAGAGTTAACATATATGCTTAGGAAATGATTTCCGCACACCTCTTTTTTTTTTTTTCCTTAGCCACTGGACTGAACAAAACAAATGAGGATCAAGGGTTACAACTCTCAAGGACTAAACTTGAGCCGATATACCTTTCAACAAGAATTACAACCAGAGAGAACAACTACCTACTCACAAAAATACAGTCATCACTGAGCTAGAGAAGCGTCCAAAAGTTTCACTTCTCGATTAGAAGGGAATAGAGGAGAAGAGTTTTACAGACAGAATCATAAAGTCATCCTTACAAAACAAAACCAAAAGAAAGAGCTTCTCTTGAGCATGTTTACATAACATCTAAATGGACTTTTTACTCCTTTTGGAGACGAAAGGGGGAATACAAGTGAGCTCACTAGCAAGCAGCACCGAAATAGTTCGTTCTTGCTGGGAACTGAAATCCGTTTCTGTAAACATTTGCTTACATAAATTTCTACATACATTAAGTACAGGTCCGGTTGATCTTCTTATCATTGTCGTGATAAAGGCGACCGAATACACAATTTTATGCAATTTTAGAAGTAATGAGACATCCAAATCCTATCAAGAAAAGATAAAGAACAAGAATCCCAAGCACTTGGGTAAGATTTCTACAAAGTCTGGCTCCTAGTTCCACTTTACACCAAGTCCAAGTCCAAACATATAAGATTGATAATTCCAGCCCCGTAGAAACTAATCATGTCACCAAAATCGTAGTTATTCTCGAGTTTCTAAAATAAATTGCTTAGTTTGTTCCTCAGTAAGATCGAAATGCAACCACAAACAATGACATATACTGTAAATTAAACTCTAAACCCTAAACCCTAAACCCCCTGGGCAAATTGGCAATTTTAATTTTAATTTTATTAAAGAGAAGGAAGGAGAAGAGATCTTACTCAAAAACAGGGCCATTATATGTGGAAGCGACATGAAGAGAGCTCGAAAAATCGGCATTTCTGCGCAATGAGACAGAGTGAATTCCCAAAGCATCCGGATACACAGCACAAAGAAAATGCAGAGACTCCTTCTGCCCGGGCTTTGAAACGTCGAGGTGCAGGAACAACTGGTTCGTGTCATCGGCATCGTCGTCTTCTCCACCTTCGCCATAGCCGGGAATTATATTGGCCATTCGCATTACCGATATGGTGATCTCTTCACGGCCGTAAGTCCGCTTGAGAGCCGGGCCGTTGCCGTCAAGCGAGCCCTGGACGACTGTGAAGGGCGATGGAGGGTTGATTTTTGGGGGAGGATTCATTTTCTGGGCATCGATATAGTGTTCCTTGAGGGACCGCAGGATAATGGAGTCGACGGCGGTGGAAGGGGATGCGGTTGTTGAGTGGGGGCGTGCTATCATGCGCCACGGGTGGTGAAGTGCGGCCCCGAAGCGTCTTGCCGCTGCTGTTGCTATGGCTTTCCTCCACATTTTTGTCTGTGATTTCGGCAGTGGCTCGACGTCCCACTGCGGCGGTGCCGGCTTCTGCTTCTACCAACTAAGCGGCTTTTCTCCAAAGTTCGAAACCCGTCGCCCCTTCTTCGTAATAGAATTACATGAATACCCTTTTAATAAAATATGTGAGAGGGATTGTCGAAGCTGTGATGGTGAGCATCTTCAAAACTTGCGCTAAATTTTAACAATTAAATTATACAATAAAAAATATTTTATTATATTTTTTGTTAAAGTGGAGAGGATTGTCAGAGATGGTCAGTGAAAGGATATACTCTCCACATATTTTTTATTAATTTATGTTTTTTTATATTCTTCAAATCATCATCGAATCTGACAATAAAAAAGTGATGAAAGAACCTTAACACCGTTCTATTTCATTATATTTCATTCATATCTCAATTTCATTAATTTAATATCCCTTTGGGGTCATTGAGATAAGAAAAATCGTTTCTAGTCTATCTCTTTCTCTTTCTATTTCTATATATATGCTTTATATATATATATATATATATATATAATATATATATATATATGCTTGTATACTATTCTAGTATCCTTATGCATGACGATAACCAATTCGGACGTTTTGGTCGGACTTTATTATGGACTTCTGACCATATTTTTTTGAAATTTATTAGTTTATTTAAGAAATTAATTAGAGATTTAATTTGATTTTGTATGAGGGATTCGATGATATTTTTGGTATTTACATATTAGGATTTCTTAATTTGTGTTCTCTATAAATATAATTTGTAATTTAGTTTGACAAACAAATTAGTCAAGACATAGTTCTCATATTCAGAACTTTGATGTGGGTATGAACTCATAGGACACAGTAAAAACGACATGATATTCTTAACTTTGATGTGGGTTACAAAAAGTGAATGTGTATTTAGCTGCCACACCAGGCAGTACGCCGAGGGCAGGCATATCTTGGTCTGTGGGGCTTGGGTTAGAACCCATAACCCTAATCTGAACAGCAGTTTTTTATTAGCTACCCAACCATGGTGGATGGGGACCATACTAACGAGGGTTTAAGGGTGCACATTGTGTGATTTCACCCAAGGGTAAGCAAACCAAGACCACCATAACGTCATTGTGCATTCCTTATAAGAGTAAATTCTTTGTTATTTGTTTGAAACTTGGAATACGTTTTTGCCATCTAATGTTATGTCATAATGTTTTATATTTAGAAACTTGCTTTTATTAGTACTTTAAAATCTCATTGTGCATTCTTTATAAGAGTAAATTCTTTTCCTTTCTAAATATAAAAGGATAATACTAAGGAGACTAAATTTGTGAACCAAATGGTGAGTCACTACTAGGAATCACGTTTATCAATGCTTAAGTAATAATCATTCATCAACTTTCGTGTCATTTAATTTTCAAAATTTTACCTACAAATTTAGTATCCCTAGCATCACTCAATATAAAAATTTCTAGTACAATGAGATATTCTGATTGTCAATAATAACACCGTAAAGAACGAAGTTTTTCAGTTTTATTATATAATGAGGTTATGTATTCAAGTGAACTTTAAAGTTAGAATTTTGAATTTCTTCTTCTTTTTATTTTTTTTATTTTCATGTTTGGTTGTTTAAGATTGAACTGATTTTGATCATCTATGGAAAATTATGTTTGTAGCTTTTTTACTTATAATTAATGACATTTGTAAACTTGCAATTAGTGAGTGCTAAAGTTTATTTTGATTCAAGTGATTGTTTTCTAACATCAATATATTGTTTTAATTTTTTTAATACTATCTTAAGGAGGGGCCCTTTTATAAATTTCGTACAGGACCCCTGAAATCTCAAAGACGGCCCTATTCATATCTCTCTAATCCAATGTTTTGTAGTGCATTTCTTATTATTTACCCTTGGTTTTTTGGATACTTGGTAAACCCTCATCCAAATACAACATCTGCGTTGGAAGAGGTCTTAAATTCTAATCCTGACTCTCCCAATGATTAAAAAAAAAAAAAAAAAACTGTAGTGTTGGAATTAACTCGAGATTTAATTTGATTTCGTATTTATGGTTTTTTTGGGGATTTACATATTAGGGTTTCTTAGAGTTTGTTCTCTATAAATATAGTTTGTAATTTAGTTTGACGAACAAGTCAGTCAAGGTATAATTCTTAATTTGGAGTTGTCTCGTCATTCTTGTTTATTGTTTCCAATTAATAATATTTGTAGTTTCATACTTTGTTTGTTCGTCCATTTAGTATTGAATTTTTTGTTTTTTCCCCATTTTTATTACTATCGACATTTTACACAAGGGGACACACTCTGAGGAGTCGAAGGAAATTGCAAGATATTCATCACTTTGATGTGGGTTTGCGCAAAAAACGCATGTGTAATGAAATGCACACTCTGAGGGCAGGCATATCTTAGTCTGCGGTTAGAACCCATAACCCCAACCTAAACATCAAATTTTGATTAACTACCCAATCATGGTGAATGGGGACCCTACTTACCCAAGGGCTTAAGGTTGCACTTTGTGGGATTTCACCCAAGGTGAATAGACCAAGACCGTGATAATCTCACCTATTATGCATCATCAGGCAACCAATCACTTTAATGCACTGCTTAATTACAAGTCCACGCTACTAGGCTCGACAATATCATAGAATTTTGTAAATCCTTATAAACATATTTAACATCCGATCTCACGTGGGACTTTAGCAAATAGTTCCTAGTTTATAGGCTCTTTGATGTATATTACTATTCCATTATTAACAGAAATTTGATTATGGCAAAACATTTTCTTGTAATATACTTTCTTTGTCGATCCTAATTTCACAAGAATTGCCCAATTTTTTCCAGATGAAATATTTTGTTGTGAAGAGAAATAGTTTGAGCAAAAAGATTTTTCTGTCCCCAATTTCTATGTATTTGGAAGAAAAAATGCAACATAAATACATTGCTCCTTGGTCAATTTGCTATTTCTTTGAAACTTGGTATATGTTGTAAAATGGTAAAGTAGTGCTGGCTAAAGAGATTTCAAATCTCTTTCTAATGTTTTGCGGTGCATTTCTTATTTAATTTAGCCTTGGTTTTTTGGATATACAATATCGACATGGGAAGAGGTCTTAAATTCTAATCCTAATAAAAACTAAAAAAGAGTAGTGCTGGAATATACTAGTTTATTTAGAAAATGACTTGATTTTGTCCTACGGTACTTTTGGTATTACATATTTGGGTAGCTTGGGTAGAACCCAAGTAACCCCAATTAAACAGTAGTTTTATATTAGCTACCCGACCATGATGGATGGGGAACCCTACTAACCTGAGGGCTTAAGGGCGCACTTTGTGTGATTTCACCCAAAGATGAACAGACCAAGACCACCATAACCTAACCTAGTTAGGAGGCAACCATTCACTTTAATGCCCTGCTTAGTTACAAACTCACGCTACTAGGCTCGGCAATATCATAACGTTTTGTAAATCCTCAAAAACATATTTCATATCTAATCTCTGTCCGATGTGGGACTTGAGCAATTACCTAATGATTTGCTAAACATTGTTAAAGATGTAAATATGCTCTGATTTGGCATAAAAATTGTCAGATTGGATATTGTTTTTACTTTGTTATTTAAACAATTAGCTTCCTTGTATCACTGTGATTTCTATGTCTATTGACTAATAGTTCTGGTAATTGTTGAAGGACTCGGCCAGAAGGAAGTCAAACGAAAGTAATGGCTGCCAAGATATGCATAGCCCTTCGATCGTTTGGTCGGCCATTAACGGAAAACGTCAATTTTTTTTTTTTTTGGGGGGGGGGGGGGGGGGGGGGGGGGGTGGGGGGGGTGTGGGGGCGGCGGCGCGCTTACGCCTCAGATTGAATTGGTGTTTTTCGATCACCTCATGTTGATAAAAAGTCCAGAAAACAGTTTGAAATGAGTATCAAGAAACAGTTTCTCGGCATAAAAACAAAAACGCAAGAATTGCAAAAAGACGGTTGGATAAAGCAAAACTCCGGAGGTTGCTCTGAAGTAAGCTCCTTGCATTGACCCTTTGCATTGGATCAGAGGTTTCTGGATGGTGGGGGTAATAAACATCATCAAAGAGGATTAATAAATGAAAAGTCAAGTAAAAACCATAGCCGTTTTCGTGTTCATCTTCTTTGTTGGGCAGACCCTATAACCCAAAAAATTCTAGATTTCCGAAGTTAAAATGAAAAAGGAACATCTCAGGTGCGCCTCAACCTCCTAGGCACGCCCCACGAAACAGAGGCTGCAATGTTGAAGCCCCGCCTCCAATGCTGCCTAAGCACACCCCGAGGCTGAGTTATTAAAACACTGGTTAAAAGTAATAAGCCTTTCTAGCATTGCTTTATAAGGACTCAACTCTAATCTCACTAGACTAAATTACGTCACTACAGACTAAGTTCCGTCACAAAGGACGTCGTGACGGAACTTAGTCCGAGGGTTTGGCTAATTCATCTGTCACCATTTGCTTCACATTAGATATAAGTCAACTGCGTTCTCTATGGGTCAGGGTCGGAAGATGCATTCTTTCAATCGCGCGATTCTAACATACTGACGTTACGCTACCTCGTCTTACGCAAACCTTTCCAAACTTACGGCATTGTACAGGAAAAAATAAAACATTCATTAGGAAAGAAGCTAATCCGTTTTTGTTTAAATACCAAAAACAATGTGCTTACTGCTCCGTCCTGTATCCTGCCAAGGCAACTCGAAAAATTCGGGATGTCGGCAGAGAAGCTTCGACACATTCACCGCTGTTTTCCTTCATGTTACAAATAGCAGAGTACACACAACAGTTGATAACGCAATTGCCCAGCCAGAAAGCCTATCCCCTACACTTACTAATACAAAACCATTGACCTACTGCATGTACTAATACAATTGCATAATCGTTCCGACTACAAACTGGTATAAAATTGTGAAAACTTACGCTCTCATTGCAACTGCGAAAATTTGGCTCGGTAGTACAAAGAAAAGGGAAACAATATCGGTAAAGCAAACAGAATCATCCAATCCTCGGAACCTGAGAAGGCCGATTTATACCTTCATCAGTATCGAACCATTCTGGGTGACAACAGCCATCCCTTGCCTCTAGTATTGCATTCAAGTTATTCACCCTCGGACAAACAGAGGACTCATAAAAACCACACCACTGAGTTTTTACTTCTTCCGGGGCCTGTTGTGTTTAACTTTAATTATTCTTCGTTGAGACTTGTCACCATCACCGCCACTGGAGCCAACTGAGAAGCTGCCCCCTAAACCCTGATTCGCACCGAAACTACCAGAGGCCTGAAATGGGTTAGGGTTCTGTGGGTTGGTTAGGTTCTGTTGGCCTTCAAATTGGAAGGGAATCGCCGCTGGGGCTGTGGGTGTATATCCAAATCCAGAGGCAAGTTGTGAGTTCGAAACAGGCTGTTGACCAAACTGGAACTGTTGACCAAAACCTGGGACTGTAGGCATGGACGCCTGATTACTGTCTTCGGCCATACTGTCTTCCATACTCATTTGATCATTATTACCTGGGGAACCAAATGGAAATGCAGGATTGGAGTTGCCAAATGGAGGCTGTGATGGGGCACTACTAGGTGCAGCTGAAGTGAATGAGAACATGGAAGTTGAGGATGCACCATTTGATGATCGAAACATAGATCCACCGTTATTTGTAAAAGAAACTGTGGATGCTGCAGAAGTAATAGGCGCACTGATAGTAGTAGCAGCGGCAGACGAGGATCCTCCAAATGCAAAAGGCGCACTGTTAGTAGTAGCAGCGGTAGTCGAGGATCCTCCAAATACAAAAGGCACACTGTTAATAGTAGCAGCGGCAGTCGAGGATCCTCCAAATACAAAAGGCACACTGTTAGTGCTAGTAGTAGCAGCAGTGGAGGATCCTGCGGATACAATAGGTGCACTGTTAGTAGCAGGAGCAGCGGAGGATGCTACATAAGAAAACCCAGTTGACGAAGATGTAGAGTTCAAAGTGGCAGCAAATACAGGAGATTCAGCAGGTTGCCCACTGGAAGCAAATACATTAGGGGCAGTGCCAGAGCTAACAGAGTTGGCCTCCAATGAGGAAGTAGAAGAACCAAGAGCAGTACTGGTTCCTGAACTAGGAGTTTGGTAGTAGAGGTTGGGCCAAAAATAGAACCTCCAAAAGAGAAAGCTGTGTTTCCAGCAAACCCTTGTGATAGTGGGGATGCTGATGAACCAGGTTCAGTTGATGAACTTTGTGCAACAGATGCAATTCCAGTTGCAGCAGACGAGGCCTGGGCAATAGGAGCAGATCCACTGCCAGCACCAAAAAGAGAACCCTGGAACTGGTTAGCAGCACTTGAAATGGCAGCAGATGTGCCAGCAAACAAAGTGCTGCTAATGTTACCAAAGCCTTTGTCTTCCATGTTCTTGCCTCCAAATGATTCCTTGTTCTTGCCTTCAAAAGATTCCAAGGGAGATTTTACTGGAACTGGTGCGACTACAGTTGAAGCAGTAGACGATTCAAATTTGACTGTAGGCGTGGTTGAAAATGAAGGTGCTTGAGCCAAGCTAGAACCATTGCTACTGTTGGTGGTGAATGCAGTTGTAGAGAAGTCAACAGTGTCTCTGTTGGCAGTGAGACTCATGCTACCCGATGAATGTGGACTTGTCACATTACTGAAGACTGAAGGAGTGGAGGAAGTAAATAGAGGGCTTGATCCATTATTTATATTTGAATTAGGGGTACCAAAGGAGAATATGCCTGTGGTTGATGGTGCAGATGATACGGTAGTTTTAGTTATCACAAAAGAGTCTCCAGCATTTGATTACTCTTATTAACTGCTTCACCTGATCTGTGTGGTTGGACTACAGAAGTTGCACCAGATACAACCGCATGTACACTGCAGATGAAAACAAAGATAAATAACAAAAATTTTGGCAACACGTAAAAAAATCAGAAAGTCACCCACATACATAATGAATGGGATTTCCACATGATACCACCGATTAAATATTTTTGTTTTTAAACATACACTATTTTATTGCAAAAGACAATGGAACAAGGGAAAAACGAGTGGTCAAGAAGACCATTGAAAAGAAAAACAAGGAACAGAGAAAACAGTTACATTTTGAAACTATATAAAACAAGCTATTTTTTTGTTGTTCATTCAATAGTTGTATCAACTACAAGTTACAACCCATCACAGAAGCAACCCCTCAAACCCATTTCCAAACCTATCTACCCGCCCATCACTAATGAACAATCTGGTTGGGGACAAAAGAAGCACCACCATTAAAGCTAACCGCCTTCACCACTAGCAAAGAAGGTTATAGTTCTGAAAATGCAGTGAATTACTCTTGACAATAGATTAATTCCTCATTGCCACCCTTCAGTGAGCACTTTTAACCAACATTTACAGGATTGCCACCCTTTAGTGAGCACTTTTAACCGACATTTACAGGCAGTGTGCCTTCACGGTATTAGGTTATCTACCCTCAAGGTCTTTGGACACACATATACTATGACAAAATGAAAGACAATGGAGTAGTTTCATTCCATTTGTCCCTTCAGAAGCCTAGTTTTCTATACACTTGAATCTCCACCTATCTTTTCATATGAAAGAAAATAATAAGAAGCATAAATAAATGCAACACTCAAGAGCCCTCAACTACTGTTTTTCATCAAAACGTAAAGATTGAAAAGAAACAAGCGATTTAACACACTAACCTGTTTGAGCTTTCAGCATTGGAGTGTGAAAAGGTTGTATTCACGGATTCACCAACTGCAGGTGACGAAGTAAAAGTAGACTCTGGCAGTGCAACTTTGTCAACACTCTTAGAGCCTAACTTAAACAGAGGAGTAGCTGCATCTGAAACCTTAACTGAAGTAACATTACCCCCATAGTTAAAAGTGGGAAGACCGGGATGCGAATCTTTCGGTAGATCAACTTTGTCATATGTAAAGGATGGCTGAGTAGCTACTACACTGGGCAAGACTGTCAAGCTGGATGAAGCTAAACTAGGAGCAGCTGAAGTCTTCACTTCAGAGTAAACTGTCGTATTATTGGTCGAACATGCCTCAACCTTTCCTCTTGAATCAGATGCAACCACATTTGAATTGTCATCATCATCCAGATCCAGAAAATCCTGCAGACAATACCCATAATGTTCAAATTCCATGGTACCAGAAAGAATAAACAAGATAATCAAGAACTTACTAGAAGAGAATAAAGAGCAACTATACCTCATGTGCACTCATCTTGAATGCCCGTTTCTTTTGTGGAGAATGAACAGAGTTTGATGCCGCAGAAACTGTAGTTTTAACATTTAGCAAAATACCCTTCTTTTCTGTTGTAGAATCTGCTCCATTTATTTGTAAAATTGAACTGTCAGAAGGAGCATCGATCCTAAGTGGGCCATTTTCTCTAACCTTATCCTGCTTTTGAGAGGTGAAGTCTTGAGGAGCACCGATCCTAAGTGGGCCATTTTCTCTAACCTTATCCTGCTTTTGAGAGGTGAATTCTCGAGCATCTGGTATCACATGATCAGCGGAAACATCAAACTTATAATTGAAACTTTTATTATTATTATGTTCGTTGTCCAAAAATTTTGGTGAATCCACATCCTCCAGGTTTTTCCGAGCCTGACCATATAGCATTGATGGGGAAAGCTTAGTTGGCGATTTGTCTCTCACATTATGGAGATTGGGCTCAGATGATTTCTCTTTTGGAGAGACCAACTTATCAAGCTGCTCAAGTATTTTGGACGCCATTTCACTGGACTTTGAGGGAACAGTAGAGAAACTTGTACTAGGACCTGAATTGTCTCCAGTTTCTGGTAATGCTTTGTGCTTAGGTTCACCCAATGATAGTGGCTTCCACAAGTTTTGAGCAGCCTCAGAACTTATTCTTGCCCCACGAATGGAAGTAGTAGGGGAGCTCAAGCCTCTTGAAGAAAGAAGATTAGGTTTTTGACGAATTCTCCGAATAGGACCAACAGATCCTATGTCATTGTCTAAGACTGAGAATCTGCGCTTCGAGGCCTACAAATAAAAACAAACAATCCAAATGACATAAATTTGGAGGTGATTAGTGCAAATGAAGAGTAGCATTAGATAATCATCAGATATCATACCCCTTGTTTAGATCCAGAAGGTTGGCTTTGCTCCCATACAGACTGAGATGATGAAGCACCACCATAAGCATCAAATTTCGACCCAGCACCCTGAAATACAAGCAAATACAAAGTAAGGGCCCAAACTCCCAGTAAACATATGTAATTTTTTTAAAGAAACGGTTGTATGAAGATCAAGAAACCAACAAAGAGATCGGTCGAGAAGACCAACCCAGAACACAGCAAATAAACAAAACTTAGATGAACATAGAAAAGACCCAGCACAATCAGCTGAGAAAACACCTAGAAGACTTTAAAGGATAACCACTTTCTGATCTAGCCTAAGCAAAAAGAGAGAGATTCCCTGAACTCTGAGGAAAAGGAAGCCGCCAATGAGATCCTTCTAATTTTTTATTTTAGTTAACAGATATCCTTCTATTTCTCTCCATCCAAATGACCCAAATTACCGCATGGAACATACAATCCATATGACCTTGGCTTTCTTGCCCTTCCAAAGCAAAAAAGGGCACTCATTAAAAGATAAGTTTTTGGGATTGACCAAGTGAATCCCAGTAAACATTCAAAACCTGAAGGGGATCTGTACTTTTTCCTATACCCAGAAATCCTCAAACCTGCTTTGGGAAATCGGATGTCAAATTGGAGAACACTGTTGAGAATATCGCATTTAAGAATGGGAAAAATAGAACAAACTCCGGAAATTGAAAACAAATAACCAAGATAAATAACACTAAGAATTTACGTGGTTCAGCAATATGTGCCTACGTCCACAGACAGCAACAACAATCTTTCACCGTATCAATAATGAGTACAACCAATAATCTTGCCAAATCTCTAGAACTAGGACTTGACGAAAAACCTGAAGGAACAAGAACAAGAAATACACCATCTCTTTTCTCTTCTCTCGCACACTTTACAATATTCTCTCGCTCTAATCCCTTGAGTGGTATACAATTTATTGTTTTGTTCCCAACTCAAAACTAGTACAATAGTCCCTTTAAATAGACATAATAAAGGTCGTCTTCAATAAGGATTACTAATCCTAATTGGAATCTAGTTATGAATCCTTCTCCAATTGAGAAACTAACTCCAATTGGGAAAACAATTTAATCCTCTAAGACTATAATTCCTTATAGACGTAAGACAACTTATCATGGGCTGGAAAAAACCCAACAATCTCCCCCTCCAGACCATGAGGAAGGTATACCAAAAAAAATTGGATTACTCCTCTTGACCAAACTCCCATTGATCGAACGTTTCATGACCAGACTCCCCCTGATCAAACTACCCATAATCAAGCTCCCCTTGATCGAACTACTCATTAACCAAGACCCTCTTGATTAGGCTTCTCTTGACCAGGCTCCCCCTGATCGCAATACCCATTGTCATTGGCAAAGGCAAGTATAGACTTCTTTGCCAGAAAACATCGCTTATCGTCATCTTGGTCCAATCAGCATCAAACATACTTGCTGGCTTGCTCTTAACAACTTCAGTAAAGCATGTCCTCCTCTTGATTTCCACGTAACCTAATTAAAGCGGGTTGCACCCTCCATTCTAAACAGATATCAGCCAAACCTGGCTCTAATAACACTTGTTGAGAATATCGCATTTAAGAATGGGAAAAATAGAACAAACTCCGGAAATCAAAAACAAATAACCAAGATAAATAACACCAAGAATTTACGTGGTTCGGCAATATGTGCCTACATCCACGGGACAGCAACAACAATCTTTCACCATATCAATAATGAGTACAACCAATAATCTTGCCAAGTCTCTAGAACTAGGACTTGACGAAAAACCTGAAAGAACAAGAACAAGAAATACACTATCTCTTTTCTTTTCTCTCGCACACTTTACAATATTCTCTCACTCTAATCCCTTGAGTGGTATACAATTTATTGTTTTGCTCCCAACTCAAAACTAGTACAATAGTCCCTTTATATAGACATTAATAAAGGTCTTCTTCAATAAGGATTACTAATCCTAATTGGCATCTAGTTATGCCAATTGAGAAAACAACTCCAATTGGGAAAACAATTTAATCCTCTAAGACTATAATTCCTTATAGCCGTAGGACAACTTATCATGGGCTGGAAAATAACCCAACAAACACCGCTCAACCCTGCAATCTTTGGAAGGCAGGAAACTCTAGCAAATGGCTACATAGATACCTTGAACATATGTACCACATGCCTAATCACTCAACTAAACCAACATTAATTGAAAAGAACTATTCTCATATCAAACAAACCTTCAAAGTACTCATTGTGCGGACTCGAGAGTATGGTGTTCGAGCCATGCTGTATATAGCAGACCTGCCATGAGATCTAGGGGTCACAAAACCATTTTGTGGAGCCACGCCACTGCCAGAATTCCTTGGCACAAGTGACATGGTTGGCGATTTTGAAGGAAATGGCAGACTGCTCAAAATAGGGAAATCTTCATGGTGTGTTTGACCTCGCAAATTTAACAATGATGGAGATACTTTTGAAGGCCTACTGCCCATGTAAGCTTTTGCGAGTTCTGCAGGTGAAGCAACTTCTTCATCAAGGACCTGAAGACATTTTAACCACTAAATGTGAAAAAAGAGCCAAAGTGAATATTCCATAGGAACTATCATTCCACAATTAGTTTAAATTAAAGATAAGCTCGCACAAGACCATGGCTTTCACAAACTAATGAGCCAAAATATACAAATGGAAAGTAAGTTATCATACACTTGCACTAACAATAGGGTTTGAAGCAAGGCGGCTCTCAATCCCATTTTTGTCTAGCAATGGAGTTTGAGGAAATTCCTCCTTTCTGTCATGAGAAACCACCGACTTTGAAGGTATCACTTCAGAACTTTTCTCTTGATTCTCAATTGGCACATCAACAGTTCTTGAATGCAACAGCTCTGTCAATCGATCAATCTCAGATCTGCAGAGGTGATTAACATTCAACATCAAGATAAGCCCATGTTAGAAGAAAAAAAGTTCCATGATAAACACATGTTCAAAGAAAAAAAAAAATGTTCTAAGCCCCAAACACGCCATGGATGAAATCATAAATGCACAAGTGGTACACCAACCCCCATCAATTCCATTAAGAACACACACAAACATACTCTCATCATCCCCATTCATCAATAGTACTTGGAAGTAATACCACGAAGTATATATCAACTTGACCAGACCAAAAAAGAAATATGCATATAACAACTTACCTGGTAAAGGTCTTCTGCTCTAAAATTTTTTCAAGCTCAGTGAGCTCGCCTCCATCACCAGTAGTACTTGGATGACTTGGACCAGAACATTGACCAATTGGGACTTTTAGCACTCCAGGAAGATCCTTTACAGTGTACATTTACATACAACATATTGTCAAACATGATATCAAAACCATAAAAAAATGATTTAAGAACCTATGAAATGAATTGAACTGAAAATTGTTTTACTTGAAAATAAATAATAGCATACCATCATAACTCAATCAAAATAAAATTTACACATCAGTGGTAAAACAACAAGGAATAGTGGGCAACAAAAAATGTGGATGTAACATGGACTACTCTTATACCAAAGAGTAAATATGTGAATAAATAGTCTATTGAGGATATCAAGTTTTTATGGGCCATTATCTGTTCCTTAATAACGTCCTCTAACATAACTTTAGTAGTGTAAAGCCAAGCAGTGCACTTGCAGGAAACTTGAGATATTCACTTAACCCTAAAATGTATTCTAAGACACGCGCAACATAGAAGAAAATCAGGGTACAAAATATTTCCCGTGAACAGAAATTTCGAGTCTAAATAATGGGAGGGAAAAAAAGTTCACTAGCTTATAATACTCAAACACGGGGCCCAAGAAAGATCCAAGTATCATGATGTACTGCCTAAAAATAGCTCCAGAAAGAAATGATGTAATCTCATCTAAAAACAGGACTTTTAACAAAACAATAAGCATATAGCTTACTCCCAATCACTAAGCACAAAGCCCAATCAGTGCTAAAATACAAATATCTAACACATTAAACTTACCACAGTAACTTTTTCTTTGTCCTTCACCTTTGCTTCATGGTTTACTCCTGATAAAGTAATGGAAGACTAAATTCGTAAGTAGTTGGTAAAGAAACTAATAAAGCAATCTCAGTCTTAAGCTCAGAGGAGAAGGCAGATAAAAAGTTTTTTATTTTTCTGAAAAGGGCAAAGAAGAAAGTTCACGATGGCTAATCATAATTTTTTCATTTTATAAAAATGAAGACATTTTATGATAACAAGTACAAGGCATGCAAGATAACATGGACATACATGCAACAGTATGTATGAACATACTTGCATTCAAGAAACAAAGGAAGGAGTCACCGACCAACTAAATGTTAAAGTCACAATGACCACTGAAAAAGGTGCAGCATCCTTTCAAAGAAAGGATACAGATGATTTTTTTAATATTTGAAAAATTAATAAGGATGATATATTACTCATAAATAAAGTGAAACAATAATTAAAAAAGGGTAATCAGGGGATTTTGGAAGAGATACCAACATCAGACTCTATATCAATCAAGCTCAATCTTACAAGAACTACTTATTGATCATACCAATTAACAATTTACAAGAGAATAAATTAAACCAGCAGTAGAATAAGGCGGAGCAAGGATTCTTTGTCTTCCTCCTACCAAAAATAAAGGATTCTTACGTCTTCCTAATAGCATAACTCTGCATGTTATGTATAACTTGAAATTCAGAAGACCAACTTGAATTTTCGATTCCGTCGATTGCAATTTCAAACACTTTTCATTAAACATGATGAACTTCCAGGTTTTTCTTATAGACGCTACAACTATTGTAATGAAAACAATGAATTCTAAGTCTCACATACCTAGCTCCAAATCAACAAGAAAATAACAAAGAAATCAACCTCATTACATTTCACAGCACAAAAAACTCAGCCAGAAGATAATTGTTAAAAACATGGAAGTAAAATTAGCAAAAACAGAACGAAAGGTGTCCCAAACAACGAAATCCCAACTCCACATTAAATGATTAAACCCAAACAAATTCCCCCAAAACTTAGGGCACAACTAAGAAACCCATGGAATAGTAAACAGAGATAGTCACGAAAGCAGTAAAAGCCGAACCTGTAGAAGTCGACTGAGGCGGAGGAAGGCGTTTGCGAAAGACGGAGGAGAAGAGGCGGTGGGCGCCAGAGTAAATGAGGCGCTGAGCCGGATCGACGAGCTTCGAGAGCCAGCCATCGTTGGCGGCGCTAGGGTTTCGTAAAATCCTTGGTGGCCGATCGTACGGTGTTGCTTGGGTGGTCCGTCGAAACGGCGTCTTCCGGAACTTGCCACCCGCACCCAATCCTTCGTATGCCTGCTTCTGCTTCTCTTCCCGCGCGGGCGACGCCATGAGAGAGAGGAGAGAGATAGAGGGAGCGCGCTAGGGTTTCAAAATTTTGTGGGGATATAGAGAGGGATGGGATTGCAAATTAGGGTTTTTAATTGCACCGCCCGAGAGTGGAAATGAAGGGGGCCAATTTGATATTTAACGAAACGTGTCGGGTACAGGGAGAGAGTGACAGAAATATGGGAATGATATTTTTTTATTTTGTTGGGGAAACCACAGGAATATGAAACTAGCTCTAATAAATTCGGTTAAAATGAAAATGGTACTTTACTACTGTGACAAAAAATAATAATTTGTATGCGCCGTGTTTCGCATTTGATCCTCATCAGTTTCTTTCTATAAATATTTAATAATTTATTTCATTAATGTTATCGTTTAAAAATAATGATAAAAATAAAATAAAATAACTAAGGTTGTTTTTTTTTTTTTTTGAAAACAGTAAGATATTCATTGATAAGTAATAGAACACATAGAGGATAGGGTACATACAACGGGTCTCGATAAAAATATTGCCGAAGATTTCAACCCGGTCTAACAATTTAACTAAGACTGATTTTATATTTTATTCAAAAACGTTGATAAATTTCAAAAATAATTGTAAGAATTCATCTTTTCAACAGTTTTGTTTAATACCAAAAAAATTGTTTGCTATAGAATTTAAAGTTACTTTAGATCTTAAAATTCAAAAGCCAATTAAAAAAATAAAAGGTTATATTCAATTGAGATTTGAAAGATCTTAAAAGATTTCTATATTCATAAAGTTAAACGGAGTTTCATACATTTCATGTGAATTTTAAGTGAAATTATTAGAAATCTTATGGGTTGAGACTTGATTTCTTAAAACCTATGAAACACTATAAAACCTCTCTAAACTCATTAAAATTCTTCATCTTTAAAAATACTTTAAACTCCAATCATAATTGAATACATATAAAGTTTTATAAACTACTTTAAAATCTGAAATAAATACGCTCATATTTCTCTAGAGTTTTATAAAGGGTACTTTAACAAAAAACTACCGATATTGTTCACTTTAACGAAAAACCATATTTTTACACTAAAAAGTCAATCCTGGTATTATTCACTTTAGTCTTTACCCTTTATTTTATTTTATTGTTAAAACTCAAAATTTTCAAATCATTTTCATTAGTTTTACTTTTTATAAATTCTTAAAATCTTGATTTAATACCCATAAACTGTATTTAAAATCTTGTTGTAAACTTTTTTAAACTCCTAATTCAATACATCAAACAAAACAATCGACATCCCAATTTTTGCTTCTTCCTACTCTACGATTAACTCCCTGGCCTACCCCTCTCCCCGACGTCGAAACCGTCCCCCGTCGGCAACTTACTTTCCTTTTCTCCAACCTTCCATTTTCCCCCGGTTGGTCTGAATCTCTTTCCTTATTTTCTATATTTTTAAATTCTCTGGTATATTTCCTCCTTCCATTCTTGCAAAGTAAACATGGAACCAATGCTCCTACAATAGTTCCAAAAAAATTTATTAAACAACTTCAATGAGAATCTGAATTTTAATTCTCCTTGATCCAATTTTTTTCAGTTTCAATTACAGATTAGCAAAACAAGCTATATTTTCCTAAAAACCTAAAACGCAAATTTAAAGGTTTAGACAACATTGTTTGCTAAAAGTGTCTTTACACTTCAAACTCACCATTAACGTAAGTAAAACATTAGATCTCCATCTATCAGTGAAAAATGTTACCAATAAACCGCAGTGACAATGGCACTTTAATTAAACTTTGTAAATGTTTATCATAGCTTGTTTTTAATCAACACACTTTGGGGTGGTATACAATTGGAATTTTATTTTGTAAGTGTTTACTAAAGACCAATTGGAAGACTTAGTAAGTTTAAGGGCTAAAGTGCAGGCAATTCAAAATTTAGATTGACTCTCTAGTTTTGGATGTTGAAAATATACCCAAAAAAATATGCTACTCCGTTAAATTCATAAGAAGTGTTCTACTAATAAATAGAATCAATATATGTGAGTCAATGGGGTGTTTATTAATTTATTTAACAAGTCGATAAGGATATTGTGAGAAGGACTTTGATGGCACGAGTTCACCGTCATATGACGTCTTGTAAAGACGTGTTTTCGCATGTAGTCGGTATAGGAGGCACTGCTAGCTTGGTTACGTGCTATAATCTGAAAATTTTCAGATGCAGATGGTTCTGCCCCAACTTTTGTCTTTGTAATATCTACCCAAGGTCCCAAACTGTTGCCCCCTCTTCCCACACGAGGCTTAAGCACTGACGAAACCATATGGGTGACGTTTTCAACTAGGTCTGCTTGTACATGTGGTATTCCCTCTCAGGTCGGTGAAATTTAGTTACTACAAGCACATTGTCATAATCAACCCGGTTACGCGAAGTCTACACATATGAAGTATTTTTATTTTTATTTTTTTGATAAAAAAAAACATCATTAGTAGGTTAAATTGTTAGTTGTTAGAGGGAAAAATGAGCGGTAGAGATCAAACTTGCACCAGAATGCATAAACATGATTGTTTTCCGTCATTGCGGTAAAACGTCATCTGCTTTTAAGTATTTTAATTTAGAATTGTACTTTGGCTATGTTCAATCAAATCAAATATAATGATTTTGAGTGGGAGGGAGCGGGTGGGCAAGAAAGTGGGATACGCTCATGCAGTTGGATGCTCTAATTCCTCCCTTTTGCATGGCGCGCCCACAAAGCAGAAAGTTGTGAAAGCACTTTTGTACCCAACTACCATATAAACTAGTTCTTTCAGCTTACTTTTAGAAAGAGGGCACATTCCACATTTCAAAACTCCCAACTAGGATAAAGTGTTCGAATTTCCGAAATAAATAAATAAATAACTAAAAAAATAAATGACTAGGAGAGTGTTCGTATGGTGACAATGACATAATAAATCAGTGTATGTTACCATCACAGCTCGTAAATGTGTCTTTCAAACCAAGTATGCATATATTCATTATCGATACGAAAAAAAAAAACATATGCCAATAAAAAAAATTTCTCCTCGCTGTATACAAGATAGAAAGGGCTCCGAGTTTCAGATACAATATCCCTCGGTGTGGAAGCCTCAATAAATTCGGAGAAAATAACCCGAAATGCCTGGCTCGACATGGAAGAGCAGTTAAGTACCTTTCTATACAATCTTAACACCTCAAAACAATGAAGAACGAAGCACGAAATCCGAACCCCTCTTTGTTATCTATGAGCTAAATTTCAAGTGCTTATCTAAATGCTATGCCGAAGCTACTTTGCATTCCCTTCTTACCGGGGCCAACAAAATTTCCTTTCTGCATCATGGCTACAAACTCGTTGTAATCTATGCGTCCATCCTGCAATAACAAATCAACACGGTAACTCTCACATACAAACAGATCAGAAAAGTTGGCTTCACGGAATAACATTGCAACAAAGAAAAGGCACAGATTCTTGACACTCGGTTCCCCATTTCGGTCATCATGAGTGTAAACCCCAAACCCACTGTACTATTTTGAACATCATCACCATAATAACAAAGAGCACTGCTTGACATTGCAGTCACTACTTTGGGCTTAAATTCGTTAATTAAAGCAACTAGGCCAAATCCCAATTTCTCGAAAGAAGACATACGGTCTTGCTACCTAATCAGTCACCGTAAGGCTTATGAGGGTCCATGAAAGGAAAATACTACTGACACAGTTTCGAGCTTAACAAAAATTTACTGCATAAACCGACACAGGACTTGAGTTTACATGCCACTCGTAATCACATGATTAATTTGGTGCATATAGCATGCTTCTTGTGGATTATAACAAACTGAAATGGAACTACCACTGTCAATTTATACAATATATCACTCTTCCAATATGTGAACCTTTTGTATTACTCTTCAAACCAATGCAAGTTTACTTTTGAATTAAGTCAAGTTTCATGCTGATACTGAATTTAGACGCTCGGGATCCATGTCATATTTTGAGCCACATCATCTTTCTATGCAAGGAAATAGCTCACTCAACTATTTTCCCATCCTAATATGATACAAATGCTGTATTGTTAAGATGTAGTCACTTACATTGTCCTGATCAACTTCTCTTATCATCTCTTCGAGGCGAACATCCTCTATGCCAAAATCCTCACAAGCTTGCTGAAGCTCATCCGGAGTAATATAGCCACTTCCATCCTTATCAAAGTAGGAGAAAGCTGCAAACAGATGATCTTCTCTCTCAATTTTGTTCAGATGCAATGTTGCAGCTACGAACTCCCCATAATCAATTGTTCCACTGTTGTCGACATCTGCCTGCAAATCAGAAAAGGTATTCCTTTATGATCTTGAAATCTGGATATACTGATATCGACGTTTTTAGGAAACAAATTATCAAGCATATTGGCCTAATCATGTGTACACCCCTTATGGCTGAAATTCAAGAATTATAGCATTTATGATAATTAGATTCCATAGATAACAAAGGAAACTGAAACTGTCACTTGTCGATATTCACTAAAATTTGCTTTTGACAAACACGACATCAAAGAGAGAAAATAAATTCACTTAACTTCACTCTTTTTTTTTCCTGGACATAAAATACTACTAGTATTTCTTCTTCTATTGTTTTATTTCTTAAAACAGGTCAACATGGCTAGAATGACCATGGTGGCTACGGCTGGACGAAGCACCAGCCAGAGAGGGTAAGAGGGGTGGCGGCAAAAGGTTAGAGAGATAAGATGAATTTGTTTTTGGTCAAGTTTATCTGGAGATAAAATGACATTTATGAGGGCACATGGAGCTTTACTACTATGCTACTTCTTGACATCCTGAAAACGTAATGAATCATTATCGTTTAAAGTACTCCAATTCTGATCTGGTACATACTGCTTGCATTAGATCATAAATTTCAGACTCCTTCAGATTTGCTCCAAATCTTTTCAATCCGATCTTTAGTTCGTCAAAAGTGATTTGACCACTGTTGTCAGTGTCTATCATCTTGAACATTTCTTTCAGGCCAGCTATTTCTTCTACAGACAAGTTCTCTGCAATGACCTGCCAAATAGTTAAAAAAAGAAATCATCATCCTCCTTGGTGAATGACTATGTGAAAATACATGTTTACGTTACTAATTGAAG